ACCATTGTCCCCTTTCCAGTGTCCCCAAACATGTAAATCCTTGAAGAACACATTAGCAACTCTGCATTACCGATGTCACCCGTGCTTACTTTTAATGCATGTAGGGGTCATGGTAGATAAGAATTGTTACTTCACTGACGTATGTAAGTATCTTCCTTCCTACATGATGTTTACACCTACATAACAAAGTTTTTATACCTTTGCCAACAGAAATAACTGTACTGCAAAGAGGTGAAACACAACAGTCCCTTAATAAATGCTTATACAATGAACAAAGGAATTTTAGAACTTAGATATTGTCTAGTCCAACCACTCAACTTGGCCAAAGTCACACTGTTGGAAGAATTAAGAATAAAGGTTCTCAATCTCAGTTTAATGATATTTCACTATTCCAGGCCAATCAATCATCAATTGAAAGATGAAATTTTCTCCTCCGCCCTTTATTCTCAATCCTAAATACCACTGCTCCAGCATCTTACCTCAATTTATTCAGTCTTTTAGCTTGGAGATTTTTCCTGTAAGATTACCTCAACCAATATATAGCAAACACTTTGCTGTCCATCCCTCCTTTTTAGAGGCTCTCTTGAATTTGACTTTCATGGATAAATCATTCAGTTATTTCCACTTCCTCTCACTGCCCTCTCATCTCCCTACTGCCCTCTTACTGTGGGTGCTCCCCAAGACTCCCTCTTCCATTCTGCTTTTCAATCCACATCCTGTGACTGGACATTTAGCCCTGACCTCTCTGAGCTCCAGATTCATGTCTCCAGGTGTTTCCCGAATATTTTTATGTAGCTATCTCCTCATACTCAATATGTCCAAAAATACATCCTCTCTCCTCCCACATATTTTACTCAACTTCCTAAGAGTATCATCACTTTTCCAGTCATGTAAGTTCAGAACTTTAGTCATCTGACTCCTCCTATACCTTTACCCAGTTCTACTGATTTTTAAAAAATTCTTTGTGCTCATTTTTGAACTCATTTTTCTTTTGGTTCCTACAAAAATCACCAAAAATTAGGTTTACATCTGCCTCTCAACCAGTATCCCTTTCTCCAATTCATCTTCTTTCTTAAACATCTACTTCATTATGTTAATTTATTGTTCAAAAAGTCTTTCACTTTTCTTAAAGAGGATCTTCTTCTCGAGCCAGGTGGGTCTACTCACTATTTTCCCACTATACTTTCTTATTCCTCAGCCTGCACACAATAAACCCCAAAGCTAGAGTACACATCCTCTTAATCACCACCTGTTCAAATCATGACTGCCTTCAATGGTGGTTCAAAATCTAGTCTTTTCAATGAAGCTTTCTGCTACTCTTTCTGAATTTACTCTTTATACACTACCATTTTTGGTGCTCAATTGCCAATTGCTTTACAGCTATGTGTTGCTTAATGAAGGAAATACAGTCTGAGAAATGCGCCATTGCAATTTCATTGCTGTGCGAACATCAAAGAGTGTACTTACACAAACCTAGATGGTATAGCCTAATATACACACCTAGGTTATATGGTACTAATCTTATGAGACCACCGTCGTATATGTGGTCTGTCGTTGACTGAAATGTTGTTATGCAGCACATGACTGTATATGTTAACTCTCTAAATGTACTTATCTTTCTGGTATTGCTGTAGGAACCACATCTTACATGTCTTTGCCACTTCGGAGACTATCCCAATAACTACATCACATTATGAAAAATGACCATTGTAGTCAGAACATGATTAGGTAGTAGAAAATTCTGAGTTTAGACCTTGGCTTTGTTCCTTTCTAGATGAGTGACCTTGGGGAAGGTACTTAACCTCTACAAGCTTTCATATCTATGAAACAGAGACAATGCCACCTATTTCATAGGGCTGTTTTGAAGTTTAACAGAATGTGTATGTATGTGTATGTACACACATAACATTAACATAGTGTCTGGTCCATAGTGAGTGGACCAGATGGCTGTTATGATTTTGCACACAATAGGCACTTCTCTTTGGTCAATATTTTAAACTGTACAATCTACAGATTCAATGCAATGCAATCCCTATCAAAATTCCAATGGCATTTTTCACAGAAATAGAACAAACAATCCTAAAACTTGTATAGAACCACAAAAGACCTGGAATAGCCAAAGCAATCTTGAGAAAGAAGAACAAACCTGGAGGAATCATGCTCCCTGATTTCAAACTATGTTACAAAACTATAGTAATCAAAACACTACGGTACTGGCACAAACACAGACACATAGATCAATGGAACAGAATAGAGAGCCCAGAAACAAACCCACATATATATGGTCAATTAAGTTATGACAAAGGAATCAAGAATATACAATAGGAAAAGGACAGTCTCTTCAATAAATGGTGTTGGGAAGACTGGACAGGCACATGCAAAAGAATGAAACTTGACCACTATCTTAAACCATAGTTTAATAAAAATTAACTCAAAATGGATTAAAGACTTGAATGTAAGACCTGAAACCATAAAATTCCTAGCAGAAAACGTAGGTGGTAAGCTCGTTGACATTGGTCTTGGCAATGATTTTTTGGATCTGACTCCAAAGGCAAAAATCAACAAGTGGGACTACATCAAACTAAAAAGCTTCTGCACAGCAAAGGAAACCATCAACAAAATGAAAAGACAACCTAACAATTCGGAGAAGATATTTGCTAACCATATATCTGATGAGGTGTTAATCTCCAAAGTGTATAAAGAACTCATAAAATTCAGTAGCAAAAAAATAAACAGGGGGCCGGCCCAGTGGCACAAGTGGTTAAGTGCTCGTGCTCCGCTGCTGCGGCCCGGGGTTCGCCGGTTCGGACCCTGGGCACGCACCGACGCACTGCTTGGCAGGCCATGCTGTGGCGGCATCCCATATAAAGTGGAGGAAGATGGGCACGGATGTTAGCCCAGGGCCAGTCTTTCTCAGCAAAAAAAGAGGAGGATTGGCAGATGTTAGCACAGGGCTGATCTCCTCACAAAAAACAAACAAACAAACAAACAATCCAATTAAAAAATGGGCAGAGGATCTGAATAGACAGTTTTCCAAAGAAGACATAAAAATGAACAGCAGGTACATGAAAAGATGCTCAACATCACTAATCATCAGGGAAATGTGACTCAAAACCATAATGAGATTATCACCTCACAGCTGTTAGAAAGGCTATTATCAAAAAGACAAGAAATAATTAGTGTTGGAGAGAATGTGGAGAAAGGAAACCATTGGGCACTGTTGGTGGGAATGTAAATTGATGCATCCACTATGGAAAACAGTATGGAGGTTCCTCAAAAAATTAAAAATAGAACTACCATATGATGCAGCAATTCCATTTCTGAGTATTTATCTGAAGAAAATGAAAACACAACTCAAAAAGATACACACACTCCATGTTCATTGTAGTGTTATTTACAATAGCCAAGATATGGAAACAACCTAAGTGTCCATCAACGGATAAATGGATAAAGAAAATGTGATACACACACACACACACACACACACACACACACACACAAGGAAACTATTCAGCCATTAAAAAGAATGAAATCTTGCCATTTGTGACAAAATGGATGAATCTTGAGAACATTATGCTAAGTGAAAAAAGAAAGAGAAAGACAATACCATATGCTCTCACTTATATGTGGAATAAAAAAAAATTAAGCTCATAGACACAGAGAACAGACTGGTGGTTGCCAGAGGCAGGGGTTTAGGGATGGGCGAAATGGGTAAAGGGAGTCAAAAGGTACAAACTTCCAGTTATAAAATAAATAAGTTATGGGGAGGTACTGTACAGTGTGGCAACTATAGTTAATAATACTGTAATGCATATTTAAAAGCTGCTAAGAAAACAAATCTTAAAAGTTCACATCACAAGAAAAAAATTCCATAACTAAGTATGCTGACAGATGTTAACTAGACATTGTGGTGATCATTTCACAATATATGCAAATATTGAATCATTGTGTTGTACACCTGAAGCTAACATACTATATGTCATTATATCTCAATAAAAAAAATTTGATTAAAAAAAAAATAAACCTCCAAAGTCATGCTAAATATTTTTTCTTAACATGCTGTCAAGTTTCCATTTCACATGAAGTTTTACACTAGTGTAAAAATACACCAGTTTTGCATTTAGTCAAAAATTACTTTTCTTTTTTTTTTTTTTTAATTTTTTGTTTATTGCAGTAACATTGGTTTATGACATTGTAAAAAAAAAAAATTACTTTTCTAAGCTACATTCCAGAGGAGTAGAAAAGGGAGCTTTTAATTTCCAAGCTGTGGCCAAGACCTAGTATACAAAACTCTGTGAAAGGTCAGCTTCATCCACACTCATAACCCAATCCAGCATGATTTTCAGCATTTATCATTTTAATAATGCAGTTAAAGCAGAAGTAAAGAACCTTTGAGGAGGCTAGAAAAGTTTCCAGAAAGCTAAGCCAATGGATAAGGGTTTTTTGAGATAGGACTGGTAGATCCTGTCAAAAACTGGAGTTCAATGATTAGCAACCATGGCCAGCCTTTTTTAGGAAGAAAGTATGAGCTTTTCTTTAACCACCAAGTCAATTACCAACTCTGATTAGTGGCTTTACAAAACACTATGAAAATGTTGCAATCTAGTACATTAAAAACCAACGACCTGGACTTTTGTTGGCTGAGGTAATTTTTTTTTTTTTTTTTTTTTTCCTAATGAAACATACAGTCTTTTATCCTTTGTGCAGCCGGTCACAACTTTCCATACGTTAAGTCATACTGTATTTAAAAAATCAGATACTATACCTCCACTAAGTTTCCAGGAACTTCCCACCATGAATATCTATAATCTTGCAGGAGAGGTTGCATCAAGTTTAGCAAGTCAATGCCATTGTCTTCTTTTGCCTTGATTTGGGCCTCCCACAACGATGAGCAGCCACAGGGCAAGTTTCTCTCTATACCATTACCCAAATTGTCTCCCTTCAAAGACCTTGGCCTCATTATTTCTGCACCCCTAAGCAAGGAAATTGCATGGCCTTACCGCAGATGTCAGGCGAGCAAGAATTTCATCACTGCTTTCTTCAGAGTCTTCCATTTTTTGATGAGACCTTTGAAAAACAAGAAACAAATTACCCTTCAGCTTTGGTTGCGCAAATTTATCTACCAAGTTATGGGGAATACATGGCAAATAATGGCATTATTATTTAATACATTAGTGAAAGAATCCAAGCAAAAAACCTGGCGTCAATAATGTCAGGGGAACACAACTCTGTTGCAGCCCAACTGTTCCTTCAAAATCAATTAGCAAGAACCTCTTTACGATATACCAGTTAAATTCTGAGGATCAAGTATTGTTCTCCTAATGATATCACAGAAGAATCCTGACACACCAGATTTACAAATATGGGCATGTACAAAGCATAAGTAGGTATGAATATAAGGTGGTTAAGTACTGAAATTCCCTCTAAGTCTAAACGAAATACAGATTTTGAAAATATGAAACAAGAATTTTCCACTACATTTGAGTTTCAGCCAAAACAGATTTATTATGAAATCGTCTATTATAGGCCTAATATTGTGATAGGAATTATGTGGAATACAATAGCAGAAGCAGCACTTTGCTCTTTTTTAAGAGACCGCAGCCCAGTTAAGAAGCCAAGAAAATGACGCATATGTTATGTAACTAAAGAGGGACATATTTTACACAGTATAAGATCAGTTTGTCTGTTTAGGAAGATCACCTTTCTAATGTAATTTATGAAAAATTCTCACCACACAAATGCATAACTAACATATAAAATTATCTACTTCCTAAAACAAATCTTATAAAACAATTTTTTTTCCTGGTTTGGGCAAAGAAAATAAACTAACTAATGGCAATTGAATATACATAATTGTCTCCTAGATCTATTTCCACAGCAATCCCTTTCAACAACTTGTGGACTTGGAGGGATTGGTGGTAATTGCCCTGCAGAGCAGCGTTGTCAGAATGGCAGTTCAATGATTGATTTCAATCTTGGTAACTGCAGTGGGCCAGCTGGAGCGCTAGCCTTCCAGGGCATGAAGGCTTCCCCCGGCTCATAGGAGAGCTAAGCAGCAGCTCTTTAAGAATGGAAAAGCTAGTCAGATCAATTCTGGCATTGGCTCCCTGTTCTGTAAATGTTATTAAACCCTTTTACAGAAAAAAGGCCACATCCTTTAAATCAGAGCAATGAATTATGAACTACTGCCTTTACAAGAATTACACGATACAGGTATGAAGCAATGCTGATGTTCGATGTCAAATAACTTAATTACTTGTGCAGCAAACTGCTTGAAATGTTAGCTAATTATCTGCCCAATAAAAATAGTGGGAACTGAGCATTATAACTTAACCGTATTCCCAAAAAAGGAAGTTACCTTGATAACGAATATTTCAAACAACGAGCTTTATTACTACAATTATCTATTCACAAGGTTTCCATACATATGAAGTTATACTGAGAAAAGATTTGCAAGCCTTTATAGCCACCAAATCGGGTTTATATAATTAAGCCAAGGTGACCGAACAGATCTGATGGGAAATTAAGAGCCAAACGCACTAGATGCAAGAGCACCAAGCAAGGGCTTCGCCCCTCTGTCTGTCTGTAGTGAAGCGTGGGCTGGTCACGCCGTCTCATGTTTCTCAGACCCCGGCAGATGCCTGAAGGATTAGTTAATGGGCATGAGGTATTTTGCACTCGCACAGATTCTGTCATGAATGTGTTTTCAACAAACTGCTGAAAGGAACTCAAAATTCCAAAGGAAGCCCTTGCGTATGTGACTGATAATGGCTATTTCATGAGTAATGGCTGAGCCATTGCTGGTTTAGTGACAAATAATTTAGTCCCTGTTCAGAAGCAAAACTATCTTTCATCATTCTTCCACAACAAAACATGCCTTGGCAGACACGTTTCTAAAAGAAATATGTGTAAGAGAGACAGAGCGAAGATCTCCCGAGAGCTGTCCCGAAGCCCATATCCTATTTTTATCACCTCAGTCACCATGATTTATGCCCAGAATTCCCAAGTCTTTCTCCAGCCCCTGAAACTCCCCTGAGCTTGCCTTGTTCTTCCACCTGCCTCCAAAGTGGCTCTAGGTGGCAATTCCAGGAACTTTATTTTCACCCACGTGGGGATCTTCTTTTTTTTTTTGTGAGGAAGATCGGCCCTGAGCTAACATCTGCCAATCCTCCTCTTTTTGCTGAGGAAGACTTGCCCTGGGCTAACATCTGTGCCTATCTTCCTCCACTTTTTATGGGGCGCCGCCACAGCATGGCTTGCCAAGCAGTGCGTGGGGGCGTGCCCGGGGTCCTGAGCCGGCGAACCCCGGGCCCCCACAGCAGAGGGCGCGCACTTAACTGCTTGCACCACTGGGCCGGCTCCCCACGTGGGGAACTTATAGGCTCCCTGAAGTCAACATAACTTACTCTTCTTGCCTCCTGCCCTCAGTTTCTACTAGCGCCTCTCAGCTTCATGGTCACCCTGTGGCCATTCCCTCCCTCCTGCACTCCCACCTTTGCCAGTCACCAGATCCTCTCACTTCTCTTCCTCAAGTTCTGCTTTCCTTCAGTGCCTCCCCACAAGCCTCATTGACAGTCAAGGCCCTCACCTTCGCAAATTATTTTTACTACCTTCTAACCAACTTCTTTGTCTCTGGCTTCCCCTCTTGTACCCAATCTCCGACCGGGATTATCTTTCTAAAACCCACATCTGGTCCTGCTATTCTTCAGACTCCAAATCTTCAGGGATTATCCCACTGCCTACTGAAAGCTCTACAACTCAGAAATACTCTTCCCTTCCTGGTAATGTGCCCCATTGCCCCCTGCACCAGCAGGCACCTGCATCTCACCTGGTGTAAAGGAGGGTCTTGGGAGCAGGACTGGTGATAACAGGCAAACAGTGGAAGAGTCTGAACAGGCGGAAGGAAGAGAGCAGGATAACACCTCACCACTCTCCTTCCTCCCTCAGCACTGCGGCCCTCCCCAGCTCGATGCCAAAACGCCCAGAAATGCTACTCCTTCCCTAGCAAATGTATTATACAAAATGTAGTTTAATTCTGATTATTTAGGAATGTAAATACACATCAATGCAATCCACTGAAGACCAAGTTCTCACAATCAGATCAAAATAGACAATGAAACAGATATGGCAAGGGAGAATAAAGAAAAGAATCAATTGTAATACTTGCACATTTTCCCATTACTACTAAAGGGGGCTGTGCTGCTCAGTGAACAAGAGAGGAAGAGAGAAGCTCTGAGTGTGGTTTGTCAGTGGTGAGAGAAGGGAAACAGAGAAACCTGGCTGGAATCAGCAGGTAATGGCAGTGACAAGGGACAGAGGACAGAAAGAGAAGAGAAAAGGAGTGATTCCAGGAAGGAAGACCCATCCCTGAGGGTTTGTGCTAGCAGGAAGCTCTCAAAAGGCACTGTCTAGTAATTCCCATGGCTGCTTCTCAATGTCTCTGCTTGCCAACAGCCCAGGCCTGACCTAGTAATTAGCCACGGAAAAGTGCCAACTCCTAGTGCTGCGGGCAGACGTCTTTATAAGTCCGAGAGGTCTGCAGTATCTAAGGGTGTCATTGTGAGGACACAGGAATGGCAAAAGCCTGTGATCCTCTGCCCTTGTCTCTCTAACCATCAAACTAGACACATTATCATTTTACCTAGCCCCGACTGAAAAAAACAAACAAAAAAAACCCTGCCGTCCCTACAGTCTTCCCCATCTTAATTAATGGCAACTCCATCCTTCCAGCTGGGAGCCATTCTTGAATCCCACCTCCCCACATACACACCCACACACACCCCACATTGTATCCATCCTGGAATCCTACTGACTCGACCTTCAAGGTATATCTCCTATTTGACCACATCTCACCACGTCTACTACCACCACTGTGGTCCCAGCCATAAAATTTTGCCTAGACCCAGGAGCCAGGGTGGTCTTGTTAACATGTAAGTTAGATCATGTCCCTCTTCTACCCAAAAATCCTCAAATGACTCCCCATCTCCCTCAGTATAAAGCTGAAGTCTTTACAGTGGCTGACATCTCTTGCTGTCTCACTCAGCTCCAGCCACATGTGCTTTGCCTTTAATGCTTCTGCCTTGGGCCTTTGCACTGGCTGTCCCTCCTCTCAGCCTAGAGTATCTCCCCCAGATACTCACATTGCCTTTTCCTCACGTCCTTCAAGTCTCTATCAACTTCTTGGAGAGGTCTTTCCTGACCCATATCCATATCCCTCATTTCCTACTTTATCTTCATAAAGTTTTCTACCTTTAACCAACATAAATCGTCTGTCCCTACTACTAGACTGGAGGCTCCATGGGAGTAAGATTTCTATCTGTTTTCTTCATGGTTACATTCCCAACACTTACAACACAACCTAGTACAGAACAGGCATTCAATAAACATTCATTGAATAAATTAACTGAGTACCTTAAACTTCAAGGAATGCTCTGCTATGAACCACCATCCTAGGATTCCCACTGCACAAGGTATTAGCTTGTTATCTGTAGTCATTTCAGCTGAAAGACCCTGCTTATACTCAAGAACTATTCCCTTTAGCCCCCATCATTCTCCCAGTCTCCTGCAGCAGGTCTTCCTTTCAAGGACCTTCTTGTCACTAAAATCTAACAAGAATGACCTTCTTACATCTAACACCAAAAGCTGGTAACTTTGAAAATCTCTTAAATAAAATAACAGCAATACAATCATCACCTCCACCTCCTCATCTTGCCCTAAGAAATAATAGTACAGACTTAGTGACAGTTTCCAACCTAGACAATCATTTGACAGTCATTTACACCATTCATAATGCAACAGAAAAGAAAATCAGCAGGAAGTTTCCCACCTGAGGAGATCTCCCAACACAAACTCTCAGTCCAACATGGTTGAGTTCCAATAAAGAGCTTTAGGAGTCAGCACACAGGAGCTGTGATCTGTAAATCCCAGAACCTGGATTTAACTGGAATCCCTGCAGAGGTTCCCAGAATTCTTTTAGAGAGAATTCCTTCATATGAATTAGCATAATGGGTTCAAGATTATTCCAACGAGGTTTTTAAAAATAATGCTTGCCATAACTTGTCTATACA